TTTTTTTCTCCCACTATCTCTCTAGGTCTTTAAACATTTTATAATTTGAGTCACTATAGTGAACTAAACAAATACCTCATTCTTCTTCTCCCTTCTTCCAATCATAATCAATTTATTTTATAAAAACAGAAAATGAGCTAATTTGGTTTTTTTTTAAGTAAAAACAAGAACGTGTCACCAATACATTTAAAAATTGTGATAAATTACTGAAAGTAGAGAGCAGATGGGATTGAATCATCAAAGACACAATGTAAGAAGGAAGGAAATAAAAACAACATAAAACTCCTGACGTATGCAGATGAAAATTACTTCAAGGCAAGAAATGAATTCTAACCACAGAGGAAACACATGCAAAGACCAAGCGGAGACTCTGTGTAATTATCAAGGTAATTAATCATAGAAAATTGAGACCATGACATTCTTTGCTTCTCCCTTGCTTATAGAAACTTCCATTAGCTGGCAAAAGCAAATTGCAGAAACCTTAAAAGATTGTTAAATATACAAAACTTAAAAACTTCTGTAGTACAAAAGATGCTAAATACCAAGATTTGCCCAAAGTTAAAAACAATGATAAACTAGCTAGAAACTAGAGGAGAAACACTGTTCACATTTATAACATTTAAGAACACTTAGACTATTAAAAATACAATCGGTAATAATTTTTATTTAGAAAAGTAAAATAAGCTTGAAAAGCTAAAACTTTTGTTAGACAGAACCTTGTCAAAGGTGAAAACTAATATTCTTATTGACATGTGCCATTGAGTCAGAACCGACTTACACATGTTCTTGCAGCAGATTCTCAGAGGCTATAAATTACACAGTAGCAAGACTGCGCATCACTATCCCGCAGAGTCTCTGAAGAACCTTTAGGTTGTTAGCACACCTCTGTACCACCAGGCCACCACAGCTCCATCCCCTGCTATAGAGAAGGAACTGTTTTGTTTTGGTTGTTAAATGGTAAGACTACATCTTGTCAAAAGTGGAAAATTTGTGGAATTTTAGAAAAGCAAGCTACCTTTAAGTTCCAGCTCTCACATATTTCTCTGCAGAAGAATTAACCATAGAATAACAAAACTACTAAAAAAAGTGCTCAATCATTTCACACACACACACACACACACACACACACATATATATGTGAAATGATTGAACCATTTTTAAATCTATATATTTATTTATTTCTATATTGTTGTTGTTGTTGTTGTTGATTGCCTTCGAGTCGAGCATGACTCATAGTGACCCTATGAACAAAAGGCCTGAAGCCCCTCTACAACTGTCGACATTTATCAAAGTTCATAGTTTTTGGAGGCAAGTTGTTTAGGAAGTAGATGTCACTCCTTATCCCAAACCTGTCATAGAATGTTATTGGTTGAGTCACCTGTGATGCAGAGTGACCCTATGTACGGCAGCTCTGAACCATTCCTTGTCCTGAGCCAGTATCACTAATTCTGACACACCAACCTCCGGGGTCTCCCTCTTCTGCACTGTCCACCCTTCCAAGCATGATGTCCTTTTTCAAGGACAGATCTTTCTTGGCCATGTGACCAATGTAAGTGAGGTGGAGCTTCAAAATCCTAGCCTCTAAGGAAAAACTTTGTTTCAACCTCTCCAAGACAGACCTGTTTGTTTTCTTGGCAGTTCATGGTATGTTCAAGACTCTTCTTCAGCACCACAACTTGAAGGCATCTATTCTTCTTCTGTCATCCTTAGTCATTGTCCAACCTTCTGAAACATAACAAGTAATTGAGAAAACCATGGACTGAATTAGGCTCACCGTTTTATCTAAATTGACATCTTTGCTTTTCAATATTCATGATGTCCATGACAGCAGATTTCCCCAATGCAATTCGTCTTTTGATTTCCTGGCTATTGATGGTAAGACTGTGGATTGTGGATCCAAGCAAGCTGTAATTGCTAACAACCTCAATCTCGTCTCCATCTGTTACAGTGCTGCCAATAGGCTCAGTGGTGAGAATCTTTGTCTTCTTGATGTTGAACTTCAATCCATATGAAGACTACAGTCCTTGACCTTTTGTAGCAAGTGCTTCAGGTTTTCTTCAGTTTCAGCAAGCAAGGTTGTGTCATCTACATATCATAAGTTGCTTATGAGTCTTCCTCCAATCTTGATGCCACACTCCTACTCGACGGTATACAACAACAACACACACACACACACACACACACACACCCCTGGGATTTGTGCTAAGCACATGTGTGTCAGGATTTTCAATGTCTGATTTTTCACAAGATCATCAAACCTTTCTTCCAAGGTTCCTCTGAGTTGACTGTATCTTCCAAGCTTTCATTTCTAGCCAAGTATATTCCTGTACCAGAAGGGATGCCTAAGAAGCAAAAGAGGTAGAGAATTCCCTAAAACCTCAGCTCACAAACTCTGGAATTGTGGCACCTCCTTGAACTGCCAGGGTCACCAAAGGACAGAGTCTGAAGAATAAAGAGAAGATTACAGGAAATAAAGCAAAGTTACAGGTTTTTAATTTTATTCTAGATATTATAGACTTTTTATCAGGATATATTATCTGAGTAATTTAAATATTATAAAAGAGTGATAAAAATTATTTCATTTACTTCATTATGTTGTTGTTGTTGTTGTTATCTTCCGTTGAGTTGCTTACAAATGCCGTAAACCCTGCTCTATTCTGTGCCAACCTTACTATCTCCTACATGTCTACTCCCACTTCCCCAATCACTGAAATGATCCATCTCATTGAGAATCTTCCTCTCTTGTGTTGTCCCTGCACCCTACCAAACGTGATGTTCCTTTCTAAGGACTGGTCCTTCCTTGCAACATGCCCAAAGTATGTCATACAAAGTTTCAGAATCCTTGCCTCCAAGGAGCAGCACAGCTTTACCCTCTCCAAGACAAACCTGTTTGTTCTCCTAGCAGTCCATGGTATATTCAACACTCTTCTCCAGCACCACATCTCAAAGGTTTTTTTTCTTTTTCTCACTCTCTCTGACACAAAGAATACAACTGCAAAGACGATATGGTCTGAATCAGGCACATCTTAGTCTCCAGCCTGACATCATTACTATTTAGTACTCTGGAGAGGTCCCTGACAGCTAAATTTCCCAATGCAATTCATCTCTTGATTTTCTGTCTGCTGGTACCAAGAGTATTGATTGTGGAGCCAAATAAACTAAAACTGTTAACAATCTCAATCTCTTCTCAAAGAATCTTTGTTTGCTTGATGTTGAGCTTCAGTACTTGGCCTTCTGCAGTAAGCACTTCAGGTCCTCCTCATTTCAGCAAGCAAAGTTGTGTCATCTGCATAACACAGGTTGTTGATGAATCTTCCTCCAATCCTGATGCCACATTCCTTATCATACAGCCCAGCCTCCAAGATGATCTGTTCTGCATACAAATTTTAAAAGTATGGAGACAGAATACATCCCTGGTGGACACCTTTCTCAATTTTGAACCACGCGGTGTCTCCCTGCTCTGTTCTGACAACTACCTCCTGGTTTAAGTATAGGTTTCACAAAAGCACAATTGAATGTTCTGGGATTCTCATTCTTCTTAGAGTGAGCCACACACAGTTTGTTGTGATCTACACAGTCAAGAGCATGAAGTATTTCTTACAGTAGCTATATATAACTTCTTACAGCGTGAAAACTCATTGAAATGGAAAACATAAAAGGCCATTAAAATAGATTTTTGAAGTGAGAGGAAAAAAAATCCACTTTATATCCACCTGTAGTAGCATTACAATAAACTTAAACCATAAAAAAAAACCCAAAACCAAACCAGACCAGAAAATCACACTAAAGAAATGACCAATAAATCTAATTCAGCTAAGTACTCACCACAATGACAAGAACATTTGGGATACTACAAAATTTATAAAAGAAAACATTTTCACAAATAAACATTACAGTCCCTAAAAAATTCCAAGAACAAAATATTTTCTCTAAAAATGAAAGAGAGTTTGACTACATATAAAATTATTTTCAGGAAAAGATTTAAACAAAATGACAATATGAAAAAACTCTTTGCTATTGAATTACAAGTTACTCATAGCTGACCCTCCAGTGAGTTTTTGGAACCTCTGTATCATACTGGCAGGGTTTTGTCCATCTTCTTCTAGCTTATAAATATTTATAAATATGTTTATGAACTTCTAAGTGGTGGGAGCAGAGAGCATAAGCTAGCTCTTTTGGTTTGTTGTTTTGTTGTGTTTTTTTTTTAACTTGTGTAATATATTTTTTTTAGTGTGTGTAATACATTTATCAAACTTATCATGTAAGGAATCTTCTCCTCAGTAGTTGGAAAACATGAACTCGGTGACAGAAATGGAGCTGGAGAGAGGATGATTGAATTTTGCACAATCAATGACTTACTCATTGTAAATACGTTTTTTAAGAGACATAAACGCAGGTTATACACATGGACTTCACCTGATGGTATGCGTAGGAATCGGATAGATTACATCTGTGGAAAAAAACCGCTGGAGAAGCTCAGCATCAGCTGTGAAAACTAAGCCAGGAGCTGATTGTGGAACAGACCACCAACTACTCATATGCAAGTTCAAGCTGACTGGGGAAAATTAAACCTAGTCCACGGGAACC